AATTAACACAATAGAAATTATACTGTTAAAAAAGTATCTAGATTTAGAAATTTCATATTGTGTTGCCAGTGTTTAAAATTTTTAACTGTATTTCTTGTAAAACTCCATATTTTTGTAGCATTTGTACTGTTAACATATTGCCAAATGTTAAAAATTTTATATTAATTCAATTGTTTAAATATTAAATCATAAAAGTGAAGATTGTTAACTCAATTTAATGCTGTATAATATAGAATATTGAAAATAATTCTGGCAGTAAAGACCACAATTGGATTCTAATCATTTTGTTCTCACGCCATTGATTTTTTATTACTATTTCTATTGTTATTAAGCTGTACATTTTACTTCCACATGTTCATAAATGGTAAAGTCTATCCTTCTCATTAAAAATAGCAAATATAATTATCTATGTATGAAATAGAATTCAAACTTGTAATGTGATAAATGAAGAATGTTGTCTTGGATGAATACTCACTAGTTTAGCAAATGTTCGAATGTACAGTAGTCGTATATAAAATCAATAAATTACTGTAATGATATGGATTGATCTTTTGTTTTATAGAGTTTTATTTTATTGATACGTGTAAAATAATTTTTTTCAAATTGATTACAAAAATTTAGTGCTTGTCATCTGTAACATGCATTTTTTAAAAATGTGTGTTGTGTTAAAGGACAGATTTCAAGTATTGTTGAAAAATAGGATTATGAAATTGTTTTACTTTACTTATTATATGTAAAATAATCAAGCTTCATTCTTTATTAGTCAAATGAAGATTGAACTACAAATTGGTAGTACAGATGCTTCCCAATTTATGAACATTTACTATAATGTCATAGTGAATGTACTCGATGTATCCTTTAACTGTACATGGTAACTGTCTAACATGTTATGGTAAGATTTTTGATGATAAAAAGAAACTAATTTTACAATATTTCAGTATTTTAAAAAGCCTTCCAGTTGTTTCATTATTAAATTATTTTCCATCTATTTCATCTGCATCCACAGCCATTCAAGCAGAAAACTAAGTACAAAACTATTAATTGGTTAAAAACTTATTAACAGTAAATTCAATAATGCTGTATCTTTTAATTTTGTTATTTCTTTCAGTTTTCTTAAGCAATTAAGTAAATTTATTTAACATAACAAACAAAAATTGTAACAAAAAACTGCTAAAAATGGATCTTGTATGTAAATTGAGAAATGCTTGTATAAATTTGTATAATGAAATTACTTTGAACAGAAATGTAGAAAAATCATAGAAAAACCACGAGCCACATACTTCTAATTATAAAAATATTCAAAATAATGTCTATTATTCAATTTTTTTTTTGTGTCTTTATTAATTGACAAGGTGATTCAAGAAGACCTTTGAAAGCATACAGAATTTTTAATTGGAAGACTTACAGAATTGATTGAGGCATTAATTCATAGCAATGTGTGTCAAGTTTATCTCAAACAGTTATTTTGATCCAATCTGAACATCATTGTGATATAGCAGATGTCCCACTGCAATTCATTTTCTTGCCAAACTGAAAGTGACATATCTGTTGTCACTTTGGTAATTCAAGTTTTGAGCTTAGATTTGCAGACAAGGGTGGAATAAACACTAGATCTTTAATGTTTGGTGCTGTCACAAAAGAAAAATTCTGAGGAACGAGGTGGTACACTATCAGTCCTGCTTAACAAATCCATTGACCTGGGAAATGTTTATTGAAATAATCCCAGACATCTGTATGGTAATGGAATGATTCACTGTGTTGCTGATGCATGTGTTCCAATGTCATCATCATTTAACTGGAATGAGAACATTTTCCAGCATATCCAAATACACGATACCATTGATGGTTCTTTCATGGAAAAAGAAGAGATTGCACATTTTAACTTTGCTAAGAACATAAAACACATGCACTTGTCTGCTTCACATCTCAGAGATGAAATATTGACTTCTTACTGAAGATAATGTTGTCTGGGAATGTCTTGTCTTTCTCAATGCAATGTAACATTTCTGCGCTGCATGAGGTACAATTGATGCATTTGTTATAAATTAATGCCTCAACCTATTCTGTATGTTTTCTATTCTATGTGCTTTAAAAGTTGTTAAGTCCTTTTTTAATCAACCCATAATTAGGAACTCAAACTGGGTATACAAAAATAGACACACTACATAGAATCAATACCAAACAAGAAAATACAAAACTACATGAAAGCAAATGTTTTCATCCACATTGAATAGTCATCATCGTTAGCCTGATGATGCTGGATATTTGTTATACCGTGTTTCCCCGAAAATAAGACAGTGTCTTATATTAATTTTTGCTCTGAAAAATGCACTAGGTCTTATTTTCAGGGAATGTCTTATTTTTTCCAGGAAGAAGAATTCACATTTATTATTGAACAAAAAAATTCCCAAGTCGAACTTAGACGAGAGTGACGTATATCCGGTGTGTCGAACTGTCACCTTTTTATAGCGTCAACATTGGACTCAATGAACAATTAGTGCTTACTGAACTAAATACACTCAAACAAACCTTTACATATGCAGCCGTAACTTTTTAACTTTAAAGGCGTCACGTACACGCAACAGAAGGGCGTCGCCATGGGAAGCCCAATGGCGGGTACATTATGTGAGATGGTGTTAAGAACGCTAGAGAATGCCATTGTGCCCAGTTACGAAACGCAAATCCTACTATATGCAAGGTACGTCGATGACGTGGTTATTTTATGGAGTGTCAAACCCAACTTACAGCAATTCATAAAGAACGTTAATGACAACAAGTTCGGCCTCGAAATTGAACTAGAGCAAGAAAGTAATACATGCATACACTTTCTGGATTTATATATACAAATTGACAGCAAAGGGAATTTTCTCACTAAAGTCTATAGAAAGCCTACGTACAACCCGATATTTATCCCATGGAATTCACACGACCCGCCTAAGTATAAGCTAGCAGCATTCCGGGCGCTCATCGCGCGAGCTTATTCGCACTGCAGCAGTACCCAGGACAGAAACGAAGAGCTCGGTTATATCAATAAATTAGCTAAGAGACACGGGATTAATACTAAAGCTATAAAAAGCCTATGTAAGACACGTAGCAAGATGAAAAGTCTACAAAATAAAGAAGAGTTCACAACGATGGAGTACAAGGCCTCGCTAAGCAACGTATATAGGCGAATAGGAGCTGCTACAAAGAAAAGAATAGTATACAAAAGGAGTCCCACTATTTATCAGTTGCTAAGGGCAGACAAAGATGCTGTGGACAAGAACACTATTCCAGGAGTCTACAGAATCCCAGTTACAGACACATGGAGGCAGAATATGATGTTCTATATCGGGGCTACCGGAAGATCCATCAAACAAAGGCTGTTAGAGCATCAGAGAAATATAAGAAAAGAGCAGCCGTGCACAGCGCTGGCGACGTACGTCTTAGCCGACCCACAAGAGGTCAAAGCGGAGTGGGACCAAGCTAAATTGATACAAATAGTACGCAACAAAAAGCACCTCAGATACGCTGAAGCCTGGCATATCTGCAAAACATGCCAAAATGGTTTAGCTATCAACTTCCGGGATGCAAGCAAAATATTGGCAGCATGGCGAACATGCATAATATAAAAGTCAAGAAAGTTAGCATAGCGGCAACTCTCTTAACTCTTGTTTCTATGTGCACTTTATTGTATTTTAATGTATTTATGGGCATTATTTTAACACTTTATTGTGTTTTAATATATTTACTGGTATTATTTTAACTATTTATAGCCAATATGTAGAGATGGCGCTTATACGATAGAATATCTTTTTAAAAACGTTTCAAAAATAACGCTTGTATTGGTAACGCAAATTTTTAATTTGAAGTTCGATTTTTCAGTTTTTCTTGATAAAGGCCATTGAATATGGTCGAAAACATTTGAATTTATCTATTAAATTACGGCTGCATATGTAAAAGTTTGTTTGAGTGTATTTAGTTAAGAAATGCAGTCTCTGACGAGTTATAATTGGGCTTACTAAACCATAGCACTATGCAAATGTCATGTGGCGTGATTCCCGGCCGACCAATTAGCCATCACCAGCTGTAACGTTATGCAAATCTGTGATTCCCAAGCCATAGTCTTATGCAAATCATGCCATGTGGCATAATTGTCTGCTGACCAATCAGTGGCTGTACTTTCAAAAAGCCAATGGCCACTTTCAACCATCTGTCGATGACTGTTATGACTAAAAAAAAAACTTTGCTAGGTCTTACTTTCAGGTGGAGGTCTTATATTTTGCAATTCAGCAAAATCTGTGCTAGGTCTTATTTTCTGCGGATGTCTTATTTTCGGGGAAACACGGTATTGTAGTGCTGAAATAATATATTTTACAGTTAAATACTGTATTTATTCTAATAAGCAGCACAACTGCAAGATGAAAATAGTTACAGACAGCACCCTCTAATAGTAAGTGTGTTGTCTATAGGAGGAAGATAATATATTTTACACTATAAAATTGTAGTCTGTTTGGTATTGTCACTCATACTGTACATTGAAATAAAGTGTAAACGTGTCAAGTGTTATATTGTTGTCTGAATAATAACAAAGTAAAAAAATTACCAAGTTTATTCCTTTAATAGTTGCTCTTGAATAGTGGTTGCAGCCAATTTTCAAATAAATAATAATAGTTGCGTAGTGGCTCTCTAATAGTAAGTATTCTTGCAGTTGCAAGCTGAAAAAGGTTATACATAACAGCTGTTTATTATAATAAATACAGTATATTAGTTTGAAAAGAATAAAATTATTTCATATTCTAATAAATAAATTGCATAATTCAATTTGTAAACAAAGTACTTGCTTTTATAAAATTTAGGAAACTGCTATTTAAGTCGTCATCTGGGAGCATTTTCCAGCCTGAAAAATGAATAAATTACACGTTAATAAAGTTTAAAATTTTAATTTAATTTAATAAATTTTAAGATATTTTTTAAAGTTTTGTATTATAATTTTCTTGTAATTAAATTTATCCTTGCAGATATGGTAAAGGATTCGGCATTTTGGGTAGCCTTTTCGGTGAGAAGTCTATTCTTAATCAACCAAACAGTATTTATGGAATTATATTTTATACTCTTCAATTGATTCTAGGTAAGTAATGCTTTAAATAATATATGATTAAATTTCAAGCAATTATGACGAATGCAGCATTTAGCATTTGTCATTCATCGCATGGTGTAAGAATTAAGTTTTAATGTTTAATAATTTTATTTAGAAGAGTATCAAAAGAAAAGAAAAATGGCATAGTCGTTGCATTTGTATACTTTTAATTAGAAAACAATAAATCAGAAACTTATATTTTCTTTACAATTAATAATAATAATACTAATAATGTATACCAACCCAATTGAATTATTAATACCAGATTTTTCATTGGGCTGTAACCAGGTTAATGATTAGATATAAAGCATCTAATGACTTTATCATTAGATGATGGCCTGACTGCCTACTTACAGTCAAATTGCTTTATATCTAATCTTTAAACTAGCTCTGTTATGACCCAATGAATAATCCTACAGTTCATTTTGCATTAGTATTATGGATTTTATAAACAAAATGTAATTCTTATATTTATTGTCTGATGTCAACTGTTTTAATATAAATTTAAATACTGAATAGACACCCATGATTGCTGTAAATAATCGGGCTTTAATTTGGAAATATTAATTATGAATTACAAATAAATTTGGCACTAGAGGGAGGTGTTAGACACCATCTCATATTAAATTTAATAATTATAATATTTAATTAATTAATTTAAAATAAACTGGAAGAAAAGAAATGGCCCGAAGCGGGACTCGAACCCGCAACTCCCACTTACCATGCGGATGCGTTGCCAGTTATGCAGTTATTATAATTGTTAAATTTAATATGAGATGACGCTTAACACCCCCCTCTAGTGCCAAATGTATTCGTAATTCATAATTAATATTTCCAAATTATAGCCCGATTATTTATGGCAATCGTAGGTGTCTATTTGCTAAGCATTGGGTTTCAGTAGATGTTTATTAGGGTTTCTGAAACGGGATTCCGGGATCCCGGTTGTTTTTTTAACCCGGGAAATATCCCGGGAAATTTTTCTTATCCCGGGAAATCCCGCAAATTTCTTAAAAATTCACTTTTTTTCTTATTTTGTGTTAAGGTTGAGGAGTTTTGCAAATAGAAAGCATAATTAACTCATTCACTGCCAGAATACATTTGTATTTATTAATTTTAAACCTACCTATTAGTTTTTTTAAATTTTTGCTCGTTATAGCATGTCACAAATGGTCAATAATCAATATATAGCTTATTTGTGGCATGACTATAAAAATTCTTTACTTGTCGGAACCTGTAATATCTGGAATAATTGTGCTTACGCTGTCTTGAGTTTTAACCATGCCCAGTAGCTTCAATAAATGCCTGACGCCAGATTGTGCAAATTGGGCAAGGATACAAACGAGTACAAAGTCTGCAAGTATGAAGTTTTTCTTCATAAACCTGATTATTAAAGCCAAATGAATTGCCGAATTATCGAGCTCTAAGCTTGATGCCGCTATTAAAGCAGCCAAGGTAGACAAATCAAGAATACTAGAGAGCGAAAGAAGTACTACAATCTCGAAAACGAACTCGAAAGCTTCCAGGCTACAGGTGAAAAAACACATAATATCTGTCTTCTCTTAAATGCATTAAACACTATTCCAATCACATCAATTGAATCGGAAAGGGCATTCTCGGTGGCAAGACTTTTCATTACTAAAATAAGAATTAGAGTGAGTTATCGGAGTATTGACCATCTTTGCTTTTTAAAATCTTATAAAAGTTTGCAATATTTTGTATTATATTTTATTTAAAAAACGAAAATTACCTTCTAAATTAGAAGTTCATTTTTTTAATTTTTAACTCAATTCAGAACATTTTTTTTGTTGTTGTTGTATGCAGTTTCCAGCAAACTTTAATTAATTTTTTTCTATTTGTGAAAATTTCTACGTTATTTAAAGGTAATTTTTATTATAGGCCTATAGACCTAACACAGCATTATTAATATGATTTTGGAGGTTACAAAACTTTAAAATTACTTTAAAAAATGGAAAATAATTATATCATTTGATTTCAAGATATTTTGTATACCTTAAAAATAATTAATTCTATCCCGGGATTTCCCGGGATCCCGGGAAACAGTTCACTTTTATCCCAGGATCCTGGGACAAGCAAAATACCGGGAAATGAGAAACCCTAATGTTTATATCTTTAAATACAGTCAGTCAGTTTTTATTTAAAGTGCATACACACATATCTGGCCCCGCTAGGTGCATTACCAGATAAGTATACATAGGAATTATTTACGTATTAACAGTACAAATCAATAGCACACAAAACATTATAGTCAATTGAAGTAATACAAAGCAAAATAATATAAATACAGTTTTACATAACACAATAAACAGTAGCATAATAACATACAGCATTTACAATAAGATATACAGTAGACTATTCAAGTATAATATCTTATAGTATACATATTAATAAGAAATTAAACATATTGATAGATCAAATGTTAACAATTATTTATGGTTATTTCCAGTTACGATAACAAATATTAAAATAATATAAATGCCCAAAATAACAAGGTAAATGTGATAATTAACAATAATGTGTGAGGATAGTTAAATGCTGTATACATCACATAAGTATGTACTATGCTGTATGTACTATGCTGTAGGTACTATATGTATTGCATATAACAAAATAAATATATATTATTTACAATAAAATATATGTATTTTACGTGAAGATATTTATTGACTATTATTAACAAATATTTATAATCTAATAATTTAAGATACTAAACAAACTTAAAATGAAAAAGTAACACAATGTAAAATAATAAAATGAAGTTAAGGAAAATAAGATGCTCAG